TATTGGAGTACTGGACCCAGGGTACCTTCGCAATTGTCCGTCCGGGTGTGATAGTGTCCCATTGTTCACAGGGGGCGTCAGAGCGCCGCGGGGGAGTCCTTTGATTGTCCGGTGGCAGGAGTCTGTGAGCGAGGCAGGTTGTGATCTTTGATCTCTACAGGCAGGCAGAGACAGAGGTGCTTATCCCCGTGGTGACTTTATTGCTCTTTTTGGCATCTGTAATCCTCATGATTGATGGCGGCTTGTGGCTGACCCCATGGCTCCTTTGAAGCTGTATCTCTCCATTTGGTCAATGGTAAACAGAGTGGACAGGCTTGGCCCTGTCCTAAGTTTAACCTTACATACCCCCCCCACGGCAGAGATGCACCTTCCGACAAGGTGCATGTCATGTCGGATATGCTGTGGGGTTGTCCTCAGTCGGTCTTCTCGCCTGTTCGGGTGTTAGTGTACAATTTGTGGTGACATGTTACAACATTCCCGTCTCAATGTGACTCAGTAGTCGCAAGCGCCTAACTGGGGCAGGCTCGTAGCGGTTGGGTCTCGGGCCTCTGGCTTGGTTTGTCGAGGCCGGGTTTTCTCTAAGGCGAGTCCTGGCCCTGCAGGCTAGTTCTAACCGGGATCAGGGGTTTTAGGGAGTGAGCTCCGGCCGTGAACTCTAAGGTTTGGGCCGGTGCGCCTGACTCCTGGGTCTCTTGGTCTGGAAGACTCAAAGTTCCAAGCCAAGAGAGTAGCAGGAGTTTCTACTTTAGGGGACTAGGATACAAAAATAGGAAACTTCAAAAATCAAAAAAGTGGCTGCCTTGGCAGCGGGTAGGAGCGTCGTTAAGGCACTCGATGGTGAGGGGTTCCCATCTTGCTCGTTCTAAAAGGGGAGTGTGAGGGTTACACGAATATATGACGTAGCAAGTGGGGCTTTAATTACGAGGGACATTTCCTGCATATAAATGGGGATGACAGGCATGATTGTCTAGGAGACTGATTAGGTATCGAGGTAGGTTGGTTGGGTCTGAGCTGGTGACTCTTAGTGGTGTTTTAGGCCCTTGGTTCACCTTCCGTGATAGAAAGGGTGACCGCCTCGAGTGGGTGACTTTGGAGGTCCTCGTACTCTGACTCATTGACCTGGGGACGCCGACTCAAATTGCCACGCTCGACGGCGCTGTCGCCCCGGTTTGGTCGTCTACGGATCTGTCTCGTCATTGCCTCCGTGCACCTGTTAAAGCTATCGCGGAGTCGTCTAACCCGTCTATTTAGGACGAAGGCCATGACTACGACCAGGCCGTACCCGAGTCCTACCGCGATGGCCATGACTGTATCGGGGGCGGCCCAGGAGTAGGCTACTGGTTGGTGGTGGATGGTCGGTCGCTTGGCAATCTCTTGAAGGAGATTGTCTACGACCGTAACGTCAAACGGTTTGTGCCCCCTCGTAGGTGGCTTGGACTAGGGTAGAGGGTTGAAGTTCCAAGGCCCTTTCCTCAAAGAACTCTGGTATCTCGACCTCTGCCTCGTACTGGTTCGGATACAGGTGGTATAATGCCAGGTCGCCTACGTGCAGGATAGCGTCGGCTGGGACGTCGACCCAAAAGGTTTCGTCCGGGAGGCTTACTCGGGACGAGGTGTCGTGTTTGTCATAGGTCAGGGTCGCCGTTCTAAGGGGAGTGTTCACTAGCCAGCGTGCCCCTACAATCTCTGCTCTAGTTTCGGTTATTTGTTTCCGAGAGGTGACCGTCGCGGGGCATCGACTCCCTGGAGTCATGGGCCTCAGGCCGCAGATGCCATCGGTGCTGTCCCTGACGAAAGGTTTGCTGGGGCAGAGGTAATGGATGTCCCTTGGTGAGGGTACACATCCTTAGGTTTGGCGTTAGGTATAAATTGGGGTTACTGTCGTGGTAGGCTACTATGTCTGGGGTCTGGACTCTGACGTGGGCATTGTCCCTCCAAGTCCCTAGGTTAGTGATCCCTTTTAGTCGGTAGATTTTGTCGCCGGGAACTATCGGTAGGGTGACTAGAAAGGCTACCTCGCGGTCCAGAGGATTAACATAGATGGGGACTGCAGCGCCCAGCGTGTACGCTAAGTGGGCTTGCATGGGGGTTACGGCGTCCCGTGTGGCTACGGCTAGAATGTTCTCAACTAACGATAGCGGCACGAGGTATGGCGGGATACGGCCCATGGCTAGGTTTTCGATCGAGGAACTGAGGTGACGTAGCATGTCCTCCATCAGTTGGGTGGTCAGCTGAGTATGGGCGTAGTCTAGTTGGAGGACGTCTAAGAGTTGGTTGACCGCAGCGGAGGTGCGTTTAATCGCAACCTCGTGTGTGTTAAGTACTAGCATGGTTCCTTTTAGGGATTTTCCCAAGGTTACCACGTCGTTCTGTTGTTGGTCAAGTCTGGTTTTGACATCCTCGAGCTCAGAGGCCATTTCTTGTTGGTGGCGTCTGAGGGAGGATAGGCTGATGGCGTTTACCGTGGACATCCCTAAACTAAAGAGGGTGCCCAGGGCGGACGCCGCGCCGAGGAGAGCCCCAATAAATCGTTTGGGTCTGGGGCGAGGGTCACTGAGCTCTGTCCTAGTGATCGTGAACTTCTCTAGTTGCGTCAGCATGTGTTGTATGTCTGCCTCAGCATGCTCCACGACCGTCTGGGTCCAGCGTGCACCTGCCCAATCTTTGAGTGTGACCTTCAAGGGCAGGTTCTTGCGGCAGACTTCACTAGGATTGAGTCTGACAAAGATTCGCTGTGTGTGGAGTCGGACGTCCGTGATGAGGAGCCCGGGTTGTTCCTTTAAAACGATCCCGGAGGCTGGTCCGGTCTAATAATTTCTGGGGTGCCGAGGCCCAGTATGCAGGTCAGCACGAGAAGGAAAGTGGACCACATGTTCTGCAAGGCGTGAAACAACTGTTAGGGGTTAGACAGGGACAGAGAAAGAGAGAGTCGATTAGTGCAGCCGAGAAGAGTGTTAGTGGGTGCTGGACTAATCGTGTTTGAGGTCACGTGGTGTGTTCCTAACTGGGTTTTGAAGTGTGCCCTGCTTGTCCCATGGGGCTTTGTTTGTGTGGTTTGGTTTGGCTGTAACGGGCCCATCTGAGGGTGGGCTCTCTACCTTTTGTGACCTCGATTTGGTGCACTGCGGTTGAGAGTTTGTTTCCCACCCTGTATGGTCTTGACCAGCGGGGTAGCGATTTCCGGCGTAGTCTGGTGGGGCCGGTCCCCGCGTGTCCTGGGGAGTGTGCCAAGGTGTAATACCATACCTGGTTTTTGACCTGGGGGTGGTCCTGCGGGTCGGTCCTGTATTGGTTTGTCCTCAGGCGCCGGGGGAGTTTCACGTTCTCGTCACTCCGGTTTGGGGATACGTACCTTAGTATTTCGGTCGCCGTTCGGTCCGTTGTTTCTACCTGTTGTAGTGCCTGACGTGTGTTGTTTATACCTGTTTGTTTCGCGGTAGGTGCGTCATGGGCGTGTGCCAACATTACCCCCCTCATGCTTCGAGGCACCACGAGTACCGACGAAGTGAGTGTATCGGAAGCAGAATCTAACAGCCCATGGCGTATCGGCATTATTTCTTCATCACGGCCGGGGGTTCCGAGCGTCGTGTCGATCGTGACGTCGAAGGGGCGTTCTAGTGTGGGGTTGTCGTGTCGGAGGGAGGCTAAGTCCGACCTGTCGAGGTCGGGGGCCGTCCCCCCCCAGTCCGGGTAGTCCCGTTGGCCTAGGGTTAAGTCCTGGCGTGCGTCAGGGGGGTCGCCGTGGGGTTGTCCTCCATGTTTGGGGAGGTCCCCGGCGTTCCCATCGCGGGTCACTGGCCATTGTGTCGCAGCATATGCGGACGGCCCAGACTTGGGGCACCGTAAGTCGTGTGGTCCATGTAGCATGTTCAGGTGTGGGCCAGGGGGGTCGTTGTAGGTTTGTCCGCTATGTTGAGGGCGGGCCCTTTCGTCCCAATGGCTGCGGTCTGAAACATGTCTCGTATGGACGTCAGGTGGGCCGGGGTCATGGGTCGGATAGTCATGTTGTCTGTGTCGCATGTCCATGTGTGTTCCCGGAGGGGCGTCGTGGGGGTCGCAGTGGTCGACGTGTCCAATGTTGGGTTGTGTATTGTTCCTATGACCTTGATTTTGGTCCTTTCCCGTCATGATACTTACCAGTTCGGCCACGCTCCTGCGTTCACAGTTGGACGATGGTTCGCCGCGGTCGGAGCGAGGGGAGTGTGGGCCGGAGGTACTGTCACGGCTGGTTCCGTTCGAAATAGCGGTCCTGATTTCCGCTGCGCGATCAAGATCCATGGTCGCGCTTGGAGTCATGCTCAGTCCCTGTTGGTGGTCCCTACTTACCTGTGGGATTTGTTGTAAGCGGGTCGCGGCGGATTTCCTAGTTTCCGCCAGTTGTCGTTCCAGGTCACTCACTGTGTTTTGGAGCCTTGCTTTCTGGGCTTCGGAGTCGCGCAAGGTTATCCTGGAGATTATGGCCAGTCGTCCTAGCCACTGGGTTAGGGTCTTACCTTGGAGTTTTGTCGTAGTAGCTTCGGATGCTAATCTGGAGGTAGCATCTTGTAAGTCAGAGAGTGAGCTGTGCTCAAGCGTGTCGTAGCCCCCTGGGAATAACTTCTCTGTGAGGTCTCGCAGAAAGTTATCCACTATGCCGTGTCCTTCTGAGACACCGTCGTGCCTGCTCGGTCGTGGCGAGTTTCCGCCATCGATTTCCATATTTGTGTGGGTGAGTGTATGCGAGTATGACTTGGAACGTGTGTGTACGACACGGTGGGAGGAGGGAAAGGAGGAAAGCAGTGCTATAGAGAGGGTAGTTTAGCTGTTGGTCGTGTGGTGGTGTAGACCTTGGTGTGTGTCAAAACCGTGACTACAGCGTCCTCTCCGTGTGGCGGTGTATGCGAGTAGGCGGCCTAGGGCAGGGGCCGGGCGTTAGTACTTCTTCACCTGTGTGTCAGCGGAGAGCGTTGGGGTTAGTGGCGTTGGCGCACGTAGGGTTAGCAGTGGCGCCAGCAGCAGTATTAGGGCGCGGCGTTAATCCGCAGCGGTAGACGCAGCGTGAGATGCACCTGCGTTTGGTCTCGCACTTGCGTTTGGTCTCGCACTTGCGTTTGGTCTCGCACTTGCGTTTGGTCTCGCACTTGCGTTTGGTCTCGCACTTGCGTTTGGTCTCGCACTTGCGTTTGTCTCGCACTTGCGTTTGGTCTCGCACTTGCGTTTGGTCTCGCACTTGCGTTTGGTCTCGCACTTGCGTTTGTCTCGCACTTGCGTTGTGTCTCGCACTTGCGTTTGGTCTCGCACTTGCGTTTGGTCTCGCACTTGCGTTCGGTCTCGCACTTGCGTTCGGTCTCGCACTTGCGTTTGTCTCGCACTTGCGTTTGGTCTCGCACTTGCGTTTGTCTCGCACTTGCGTTTGTCTCGCACTTGCGTTTGTCTCGCACTTGCGTTTGTCTCGCACTTGCGTTTGTCTCGCACTTGCGTTTGTCTCGCACTTGCGTTTGTCTCGCACTTGCGTTTGTCTCGCACTTGCGTTTGTCTCGCACTTGCGTTTGTCTCGCACTTGCGTTTGTCTCGCACTTGCGTTTGTCTCGCACTTGCGTTTGTCTCGCACTTGCGTTTGTCTCGCACTTGCGTTTGTCTCGCACTTGCGTTTGTCTCGCACTTGCGTTTGGTCTCGCACTTGCGTTTGGTCTCGCACTTGCGTTTGTCTCGCACTTGCGTTTGGTCTCGCACTTGCGTTTGGTCTCGCACTTGCGTTTGGTCTCGCACTTGCGTTTGGTCTCGCACTTGCGTTTGGTCTCGCACTTGCGTTTGGTCTCGCACTTGCGTTTGGTCTCGCACTTGCGTTTGGTCTCGCACTTGCGTTTGGTCTCGCACTTGCGTTTGGTCTCGCACTTGCGTTTGGTCTCGCACTTGCGTTTGTCTCGCACTCGCGCTTGTCTCGCACTCGCGTTTGTCTCGCACCTGCGTTTGTGGCGCGGCGCAGCTCCAGACGCAGCTCAAGTAAGCAGTAGCAAAAAGGCAGCAGGCTGAGGCAAGGTAATGCAGTTTTAGCGACAGTGGGGGTTAGAAATAGAGTATTAGTTTTGATGTAGTACAATCAAACATAGAGTTTGGCATAGTAGAGTGTTAGTTTCACCACTAGGTGGGAGTGCAGTATCTGTCAGATCACACGCCGATGTGGTTCAACAATAACGCGCATCATGCAGGAGCAGGAGTACAGAATAGGATTAGTTACCACAGCAATGTGTTATTATCGGTGGCAAGGAGGGGGCGGGGGTGTGTGGGAGTGCAGTGTTTGTTAAACCACCACACAGATGTGTTACTGTAAACTAGCAGTAGTGAGTGAGCAGGAATAAAGCATAGAATGCGTATCACCAGCGACATGCAGCAGAAGGAGAGCAGGGTTTACAGCATTAACCTTGGCTAATGCAGTAATGGAGCTTAACAATTATGTTTAAGAGGAGAAGCAGAAACAGAGCGTTAGCTTTTGTTATGTATAGCAGTAATGTGTTCTAATAGCAACATGCGCTAGAAGTAGCAGAGTTACAGTGTGAAACTTGGTCAACGCAGTAATGTAGCCTAACAATTATGCTTAAGAGGAGAAGCAGAAGCAGAGTGTTAGCTGTTGTTACGTATAGCAGTAATGTGTTCTAATAAAAACAATATGACATGCAGAAGGGGGCGGAATTAAAATGATTCGTTTCAGTGTAGTACAATCAAACATAGAGTGGTTATTAGTTTGAGCAATCAAAACAGCATGGAACAACAGCTAGACCGTGTTAATGTTACCACCATGGGCAGCAGTGTGGTCTAGGCGTGACATGCAGAAGAAGGGGCAGGATTAAAATTATTAGTTTTAGTTAGTGCAAGGAGGGGCGGAATTAGCGATAGTTTTAGTACAATCAAACATCAAGTTTGGCAAAGTAGAGATTTTAGTTGGAACAGAAACAGCAAGGGACAACAGCCAAAACAGTGTTAATGTTACAACCACAGCCAATCACTTGATCATGAGACGTAGTGCAGGGTAAAAGTCAAGACAGCAGCAATGTGGTCCCGGAAGTAGTGCCGGGACCGGAAAGCAATTTTGTGTTTAGACAATAAGAGGTGCGGCCCGTTTAGCAGTATGCCGAGACGGCTGGCGCCTTATGATCGTCAGAACACAGAATCAGAGTGGGATAGGATAGTACGAAGTATAGTAAGTAGTGTTATTGTTAGACAGCAGGTAGACAGTGCAGCAGAATGGTATTAGCAGTGGGGATGCGGCTCTGGCTTTTAGCGCGCCAGGGCCGGAAGTTAGCCGTATGCTAAAAACAAAGGAGCGTAGCTAGCATTTAGCTTGCCGGCAACGGTACATTGTAGCAGCAGTTTAGGCAATAAACAATGAGTTTTGGTGACCGAACGCAGTTCGGTTAAACAGAGTGGCACTAGTTTTAACGGTAGAGAAGCAGCGTATAGTGGGAGCAGTAGTAGGAGCAACGGCGTTGTCAGAGTTAGCTTTGAGGCTAGGGGCCCGGCGGAAGTTTAGCCGTATGCTAAAAACAAAGGAGCGTAGCTAGCATTTAGCTTGCCGGCAACGGTACATTGTAGCAGCAGTTTATACACGAAAGTCTGGAGCGAGTTATACAGTTCGCACAAGCACGTAATCACAGTGGTGGAATGGGGTTTGTATGTATGTACTGTAGGGTGCTGGTGTGTGTATACAACAGCAGGTTAGCAGGCAGAGAGAGTGGTGAGACAGAGTTAGCGTTAGCCGCCTTTAGCAAAACGATAGCATCACATTCAAACAGCTGCCATTTACAGCCTTTTACACAGATATACTCGGTTAAAATCCTGTGTGACCTGGGTCACCAAGGGACACAGTAGATCCGTACACCCGTGTTCTGGACACGGTGTACAGTGGAGTTATAAGAATAAGGTTTTGCGCTTTCTCTTCAGAGGGGAAGCGACTTCACAGACTCACGCTGCCCGCTGGCCAAGCGGTGCAAAACGTTGGAGAGAATGCGTAGTACCTGTGCCAAAGCCAGGGTTTTGAGACTAAATTAATAGTCTGGTGCATGCACGAGACGCTTTTATCGCAAGCGTGGGGCGTAGGGGAGCTCGATTGCCGTTGAAGTCACTATAGCAACGGGGGTAGCAGGGACAGAGGGGGTGCGGGAGTGGGGGGAAGCGCTTTGAGCGGAGCAGCAGTCTAAGTTAGCGTATATTAACCGGTCAATTCACAGAGTACGAGTCGATAAATCTGGTCTATATTCGCGGATCTCACAAACAGGGTACCAATACTGTAGGGTAATAATTATATATATGTAGTGTAATAATACTACAGATTATGTTATGAGAAGAATAGTGCGGCTAGTCTTCAAATCAGAGTCTGGCCGTCCTATTCGAGTGGGGGATCTGCTTTATATTTATTTAGGCACCAGCAGTGTATGACACACTGCACAGATCCAAACCAACTTTGCCTCGAGTCAGTCTTATAAATCTAATAGGTAGTGAGTACTTTTATCGGCCAGTGATATTCCGAGATCTAACAACGCGACTCTAAAGGGGTTGAGTTAAAGAAAAGTAGTTTATTGATTACAAAAATGAGGGTAAAAATATAACGAAAAGGGATTTCTGGTCACATTAAAAGCAGGAGTTGTACACATATCATTCAAATCATACATTTAACAAAGGAACAGTCTTACTTTGAAGGAGCGTAGAGGGAAGTGGGTGACTGGGATGAGGATGGAGTGGAGGATGAGAATGAAGAATAGGGTGGAGGCGATGTCGTCCACGTGGTTTCTTTGTCCGGGCAGGCGGGAATTATGAAGCCAGCGACGGCAGTCCAACTTTGGATCCAGGCGTGCACACTCAGTCCGGAATGAGTCACGTGCGCAGAGTCCAGAGCCAGGGCCGGCTGGTGATGAAGAGTTCATAAATCCCAACCAGAGGAGAGTATGTTTGGCGGAGTAGAAGGCCCGATGCGTGCTGGCGCGACCGTAGTAGGAGACACGTGCCGCGGGACGCCGATGGCCAGGGAGGTTGGAATAGTGATTTCAGGAGAAGGCAAGAGAAAGAACAATGGCGTGTGGGTGCTCATATAGACTTCCCAGGGGGCGTGTCCATGCCGCCTGCAGTAATTTGTCAGAATTCCCCTGCCCAGAAGCTGCAGAGAGGCCGCAAACACAGCAGCCCTTCGTTCTGCAGGTCCTTTTAGTTCAACAAGAGACAAAAACCAATGTTAAAACAGTAATAGAAATGACAGATACCAAACCTGATTTCAAAAGGTTATATTGAAGATTTTGCAAGCAATATTACAAGATAACGGTCTGCGAACACAAGTCTCGCTTCGCGTTCAGATAAGGAGTGGCCCCGGGGACGTCTTTCACCCTCCTGGTCAGAAGAAAAAGAAAAAGCCCCCCGTGACCACTCCTGCACATACATTTATACTTTACATCCAAGGTCACTTGACATCACAACTGTATGGACCCTATGACTCCTTTCTGGCCTACTGCCAACGTTTGCACCTGCTCTGATAAAACACTTGTCTCCCTCCCATTCTCACACAGACTAACCTTGAACTCACTGCTCTTTGAGATTTACACAAACAAGTGCTAATTTGGCAACAGAAACAATACTAAACTGATCTTAGTTTTAACTGGTGCAGGAGTCAATATTCCAACAGTCCCCCTGTTGGCCGGAGAGGAACTCTTCGGACATCCATCACTCTCGTCTCAGATGGCCCATCTTCATCAGTTGATCCAGCATTACATCCTATACTCAGTCTAATCCCAGTCTTCACGACGATCTGTGAACTCCTAAACCACCCCATGTGACATTATGAAAAATGTGGTGGTCTTCCACTCAGCCCTTACTTCAGACCCCCCCAAAGGCCTCTGGGCGGACTGAGCATCCAACTCACCCTAAACTACATACATTGAAGTGATCCTATAAAACAATCTATATGTGGGTGTGCTGCGGTGTCTAGTCTGTGTAACAAAAACAATAGTTGCAAGAGCTGTGGAGAAAGAATATGTTTGTGTCGTGCATCAATTTGAATTATGTAATTTTTTTTTTTTTTTTTTTTATAATTTTTTATCGCATCCCCGATTTTCCCAAGTCCCTCTTACAAGTTTGCAAGGTTATGTGCGTTATTTACATGCAAGCAGTTATACATTTTTGATTAAAATATTTTGATAATATCATAAAGCATACTCACAACTCCTCTGGTGATATTCTGACAATATCACAGGCCATACTCACCCGTTCTTCTGATGATTGTCCTTTATGGCTTAGGCTATGGTCATCAATTCTTCTGGTTCCCACTGTAGGTCCTGGGTTAGTAGCAGTTGTCTTTCTGCCACCTTCCCTTCCACAGCGGCTGTTATCACTCTGTTACATAAGGATCGTATGCACGGAATACAACAGCATCCACATAGCGTCAGGATTGCTGCAAATACAGCCACCGATAGTAGAGTTGATGCTATCAGTGCCTTATATCTGCCAAACACATCCAACCACCCATCCCACATTGATTGGTCTACTCCTGAATGTGCCTTCATTTCTTGGGATAGCGCCTTTAGTCCCTGAAGGGCCCTTGTTAATTTTCCATTTGGGGCAGTATTATTTGGGATAAACGTACAACACGTAGGGCCAATCAATGAACAGGCTCCGCCTTCTTTGGCTAAAATCATGTCAACAGCAAGTCTGTTCTGGAAGGTCATTAAGGATGTGGCTGATAATTGTTCATGAATTGCCTCAAATCCATCATATGTATAATTGCTTAGCCTCTGTATGTTGTAATGTAAGTAGTTGATCCGATCTACGTTCTTATTTGGGGTTACTGGAAAAATTGCGGAGATTATTGGGATGTTTTCAAATCCTGATGCAATTTCATCAACCAATTTGTATTCATTTGGAATTCCCCTAGGAATACCTATTGCATCAATATAAACTGGACTTCCCTCCTCTGGTCTAGCCAGTGCCCTTCTTGATCTGGTTTTTACACTAATGATTTGTTTCAAAATCTCTGGCTTCTCTAAATCCACTGGAGCTATTTCAATTGGTATGAGTAATGAGATCAACACACACATGCCATCCCACAGAGGGTGTAGATATCCCCTTAAAGACTTGCCACCACAATACCACCACACATCTGCTCTGGCTACTGTCAACTTGTGTCCATTTAATTTTTCTGTGAAATCCTCATACCTAATGCATAAGGATCTATTTACATGTCCTACTTCCCTTTTTTCTCCACTAAGGACCTTCCTAATGACGCAGGTGTATTCACCTTTTACTTGTGAATTAAAAATTGGTGGTGTCGCATTTGTGGCAGTTACCGGATATATTTTATCATATAGTGAACAGTTAGGGTATAGGTTATCTCTCATCATAATCTCTACTAAACATGTATGATTGTCCCTATCTACTACAGTCGGTACTGCATGTAACATAGGCCTTGGTCCCATACAAGCAATACATTGACTTAGTTGTGTAGCTTTTGCAGCTTGCTCAATCATAAATAGCCAATTATTTTTTGTAGCTGTTATTCCTGTCTCCATTCTGAAAACATCATCTGCGTGTAAGAGAGTTGCATTATATACCATTACTAGATTTGTGTTACCTACATGTCCTACGTTAAGCCCCCCTTCTCTTGTGACACTGACTGGATCTTCACATATAGTAATTAATGCCCAAGGGTCTTCTCCTGGCACATATGCCCATACCAGAAATCCCCAACAAAACCATAGAGGTTTCTTCCCTGATCTGTCTCTTGGGTCCAATGACTCACCTCTCAAGTCCACTGTAATTGTAAGACATGGTACACTTCCCTGCATAATCCCCTTTGTCATGGAAATTATTTTAGAATGGTGTCTTGCAAACTCTGTAGTTGGTGTTGGTGTCCAATCTAATCCAGTATATGCCACCATTGTCCCCCATGATTTATCTCTCATGTCATTTGTCATGTACCATTCATAATCTGAATTTTCTGCTCCCACTTTTTTCCCTTTGTTTACTAATGCTATA